AGAATTAGTCTAACCGCCACTCGCTCTCACATTGCAGCGTCCCTCTTTTATACTCACACACTGGTAGAATTGCAACTCTAGTTGGGATCCGAACAGAATATGCTCAATTTTTCTGGAATCCTCCTATATTTTGGTTGAACTAGAATTGAAATCCTACCAGTATGTGATTAGGAAGAGAGGCGCTGCAATGTGAGAGCGAGTGGCGGTTAGACTAATTCTCCTGAATACTGCAATTTTCATAGAATTGTGGGAGTTGACATACCTCCGCACTTAATGGATGCACCCTGTATATTTATAACTACATCATGAGCGCAAAATGTCGTGAAAAGAACGAGAAATGACCATATTTAAAAGATTTGTCCTTTTTCTGGGGAAAAACTAGTCAGAAATATAGTATTTGAAAATTCTGTCTATTCCCTAGCGAGGTTCAAAACCCCATTCTATACTTTCACGGCACTTATTGGGGAATCTATAGAATCGCTAATTTTGTACTTTCTCTATAACAGATATATGCATGGTTATATCTCTATCTGAGTGCTAGAGGCCTAAAGTCCGATAATGTATTTTTGCAATAAAAATGCATTTCGAAACTCCAAAAAAATACGGAAAGGAGGTTTCAAATTGCATTGTTTATCTATCTATGTTGAAATAAAAACATTTTGAGGAGTGATCAATTCCCAGATATTTTCAATCCTATCCTTCTGTACAAAAACTTAGGAACAAGCTTGGATTAAAACTGAAGAGTGAGGCTATTTCAAACAATTTGGCTTGATACTCCTCGAATTTTTTTGTTAAACTGAAGGTAATAAATCTTGTTTGAGCAACGATGCTCAATCATATGCGAGTAAAATTGACATATTCATCATCTTGTTGTCAATTTTCTATATATTAGGCTAGTTTGAGATAGGTGGGAATAGCAAAAAGCTTATAATAGTATTGTAATAGGCGCACACGAACAAAGAAAATTATTCGATCTTTGTACTTTTAACCTTTATTATCTTCTGAACATTTTCTTTTACCATTATCTTTTCTTTATCTTATTAACATTTGCATCCGTTACGTCTTACATCCAAATGTGACATAGATATAGTTAATAGAATACGAGACTATCACTTCTATTTCATTATCAGTGTGGTGCAATCGTGGTTGGTCTATAAACGATCATAAAAAAATATCTCGTTATAACAATATCATTCTAATTACTTATTCTTTCATGTTTATCGAACAATGAGGAAAAATGTTTCTACACATAGTGAACCCTATCCTCCACTGTACAATAACGACCTTACATTGCAGAATACAATTAGTCTTTTGTATCGTGATCACACAACTGCCTATCGGAAATGGAACTCACAGAAGATTTTTTAGTTAAGCCGACTGAGTGAACGTAGTGAACTGTCGAGTTATTGCTTTTCTCCAGAGTCCGCATGTTCTTCACTCTTTCTTTCTCTACACCTCGAGTGTGTTTTTCTGCCCGTCGATCTCCGTAATTTCAAGTCATATAAAACTGGGACAAAAAAGAGAATATAAAACTCACATTGAATACGACACATCCGAAGTTGTTTTTACATTACCCTTTTTAGTTTGCTCAGGTATATGCCATAAACAAGGTCATTCAAAAGTTAGGACTTAGAAACTTTCTACAATCGAGGTCATTAACACGTGATTAATTAAAGTGTGAAAGAGAAGCAGGGAATGTTATACATGCAGATAGGAAACGCTTGCCGTCAATAGCATGACTGCAGTAGAGACTCAGTCTAATAAGGAAATAAGAGAAAATAGAGAAAGATTCTTATTCTCTTCTTAATATTTACAATTTCGTTTCTGTCTTCCTTGCTTCTCACAAGCGTTCACTCAGTCGGCTTCCAATATTCGTAGAGCGCAGCTGGCATCTAGTTTTCTTTCTGTTCTTGTACCAAGTTTCACTTCTAGTTGTCTGTTCAGCGATATGAGCGATATGATATGTCTTGGTTCAGTTCTTTACTGATTCGTTACGCGGTAACTGACTTTATCCAAATATTCAACCTATCTATGCACTATATCAATTGCATAAGTAGATTAATGTTTGGATATCTCGATATCTAACCAATGAACGGACTTGCCAGTATGTGATTTACCAAGGTGTCTTTGTTCTCACTTAACAAAGTACATTTACTCAAACAACGTGAGATTCTCGGATAATGTACCGTTGTTATGTGAGACATTAGCGGTGATATATTGATTATTCGTGAATGATGAGTACAGTTTGTTAGTCGAATTTAGGTAAAAAACTTGAGTAGTCGAAAGTGAAGATGAATGAAACAGTGACATATGTCGTGTTGTTAAATGAGAAAAAAACTTACACTTTCTTCCTTCTTAAGTGTTAAAAGATCTAAGTCTCGTGACTAAAGCTGCTTGGAGATACTTTTGTGAACAATTTGTTTTCTATTTATTTGTTTTTAGATAGACAGATAGTTAGACACTCACGTATATAAAGCAGTAGCCACATTTATCATGGACGCACATTTTGAACGCCGTCTTCTGCTTTCAATGAACGGTATGAGTTCTGTGAATTCTTCACCGTTCAAAAGTCCAATTCAGTCACCGGTGAAAGCAAGTGATCGTTACATTCCTTTGCGTTCGTCTCATTCAGCAACAAATCTTCATTTCGACACACCGTTATCTCCGCAGAGTAGTTGTGCGTCCTCTTCGGTAATATCATCGCCGAAGAAACGAAAATATGAACAAAATCAAGCTGGTCTTGGTGTAGGAGTGACAGGCAGTGAACCAGATTTAGCCATGTATCATCAATTATTGAAAAATACATTATTAAATACGAACGTTGATGTTCTAAAAACATCCGATATTCAAAATGAGTGTATAAAACCAGTAACAACAACCATAACAGATCGTTCTGCAACGACACCAAACGATAATGGTTCATCATCACCGTTAGGCTCTTCTATATTTAAGTATTCTGAACGTGTTGAAAATCCACCACCAACATCAACAATAAATAAGACACATTTTAGTCGTTCACCACTTTCTTCCGCTAATATTCATTTATTATATTCACCAAAAAAAACTATTAGACGTATACCAAAAATTCCGTATAAAGTATTAGATGCTCCAGATTTACAAGACGATTTTTATCTAAATCTTATTGATTGGTCACAAACAAATATTTTAAGCGTTGGATTAGGTTCATGTGTTTATTTATGTCATGCTCAAACAAATAATGTGACACTATTATGTGATTTAACACAATCTCAAATTCAGAACTCACACTATATGTCTTTACATCAACAACATCAATCGGATAGTGTGACATCAGTAGCGTGGGCAGATAGAGCCAGTTTATTAGCCGTTGGTATGTACATCTTATCTAGCGTTCTGTACCGTCACTCTGATACAATATGAACGAAACTAAAGCTAGAAATGTTCCTTAATAGGTTACCTTTTAAGTATTTAATTCAATATGTACTCTTAATGTACAATATTTTGAGATAGGATATATTGTATCGATAATTGATTTATTTTAGGTACTCATCGTGGTCACGTTCATATTTATGATGTTCAAACACAAAAACGTGTTCAAACAATCTCGAAGCATAGTGGTCGTGTTGGTGCATTAGCATGGAATGAATGGGCATTATGTTCCGGATCTCGTGATCGTTCAATAATTGAACACGATAATCGTACATCAACAACAGTTCACACATTTCATGGTCACACTCAAGAAGTTTGTGGACTTAAATGGTCAACAGATAAATCTATTTTGGCATCAGGTGGCAATGATAATCGTCTATTATTGTGGAGTAATACACATCAAACAAATTATTTACAATCATTTAATGATCATTTAGCGGCAGTTAAAGCTATAGCGTGGTCACCTCATCAACATGGTCTCTTAGCTAGTGGTGGTGGTACAGCAGATCGACATATTCGTTTCCGTTCATCATTAACATGTCAAACATTGAGTGTATGTGATACGGGCTCTCAGGTATGTCAATTGGTATGGTCAAAAAATTCACCGAATGAATTGGCTAGTACCCATGGATTCTCACAAAATCAAATTGTTGTCTGGAAATATCCGACTATGCAACCATTAGCAAAATTATTTGGTCATCAACAACGTGTTTTATATTTATCAATGAGTCCAGATGGTGAATCGATCGTAACAGGAGCAGGAGATGAGACACTCCGTTTTTGGCATGTATTTGCTAAATCAAAGTGTGTTCGAAATCCAGATAGTAAGTTAAATAGTTTAAATCGAATGAGATAAATACGTTGTGGTTGTTATTATTATTATTATTATTATTGTTGTTATTACTCTTTTCTTTTCATTCAATTTAATTTATATTTCGTGTGTGATTTAATTTATTTCTCTGTAACTATTACTCTTAACTTTTTGTCTCAATCTATTTCATTTTGCCATAATGACGTGCATTACTTTGTCAAAACGTTTTTTATCTTCCACTGAGATAATACTGTGCGCATGTTTTGTTGAATCTGTTGTTGAACAACACTTTTTTTTTCTTTGTTGCTTTTACTGGAGAGCAGGTATCTCATTAAAATTTCGTTGCTTTTTCCCATGATACCAGGTGTATTTTTCTTTTCTTGGAATGTATAAAAAATAAAAGAAGTAATATAGTTTAGTTAATTAAGTCCGATAGCAAAGCAAATACTATAGTCCTCAATATGAATACAGCTAGAATGTGATTTTAGCCGGTGCATGATTTTTTTTACTTTGTCTTTTGTTATATCAGCAGTCACTTTTATTGGACTATAATAACGTCAGATACGATTGTCAGTTATATTATGTTTCAACAACTTATTTTCGTTGTTGTAACATCATTTTTTTTGTTTAAATGTCCAACAGTTTTTTCGCTATGTCGGATAATAAGCATCTTAAACTTGATGATGTTTTATATGATTTGTTTTCTCTTACTTGTTTTTGTGTTGTTATAATTTAGTTGTTTATGATTTTTTTTCTTTCGTCTTTTATGTATCTTAGCATGCGTTCAACAAGTGCAAAATGGAAAAAGTGAACTGTTTCAGTTCGAGTAATAAAATGAAACAAATATTAGTTGATACATCATCACACACGTTTAAATGTGTAAAGTTTCAATATAAAGATAATACTTTTCAAACAATTTACCCAATCTATGTAGTAGTGATCAGAGACCGAATCGGATCTTAGATAGATGACCCAATCCGAAGGCTGAATGACCCAAAATTTTTTCTTACGTGATCTAACAATAACCAGCAACATGAAATCGTTTCTCTCGATCGTATATTGTCATGAAGTCTAATCATTATAATGCGACCCATATCTAAATCGTTTGTTTTTTGGAATTTACTAATGTTTCTCTTTTTTCTTTTCTTTAACATCAGTAAAATAACAAAAAAATGTAGTTACAACTGAACAAGAGTTCAGTTACAGATATATCAATATTTTTTCATTAGAAAAGACACATGTTTGAAAATAGATGAATGAACCGTAACCGAAGAACCTCTCCTGATTTGTTTTCTGGTGTCACGACCCGAATAAAACCCGAAAATGTTTTTCCTCCGATCTAACCCGAATCAATACTTTTTACGTTGACTCGATACGATCCGTTTCGTTCTCTGATAGTGATACACACATTTATATCGTCTTGTTATTAACACTTTTACGTGAAGAAAAAACAAATTTATCTTCAATTTTATAATCAAAATGTCAAAGTTCACTTCCATAATTGTTTCAGATACTCAATATATGTCTTGTACTGATAATGTTCATGTATTATGCAATTGTTCATTATCTAAAAATATCAGTTCATCTGTTTATGAAACATTAGAAGAATTTGATTTTCGTCGAGGTATATGGTCACATGCACAAAACAATGATTATGATGAATTAAAAAAATTTATTGAAGATAAAAAGTCTACATTAAATATAAATCAAAAAGACAGTAGTGGCTATACAGCATTGCATTACAGTGTACGTCATCAACCAGCTAAAATTGTTTTATTATTATTAGAAAATAAAGCAGATCCAAATATAGTAACAAATGCCGGTCATTCAACACCATTACATCGTGCAGCTTTATTTAATAATTTAGAAGCAGTCAAATATCTTATTGATTATGGAGCTAAAGTTGACATAAAAGATATTGATGGTTTAACGCCATTGGAACGGGCCCAACGACAATCTCATACACAAATTGTAGAATTTCTGAGTCAGAATATAAAGAAATAAAAGAAAATAAATTGATTTATTTCATCGAAATAGGATAAAACAATTGTGTGTTGTCCGAACAAGAGTTAAAAAAAGAAACATACTTTTAGAAAACTTTAAAATGACGATAATTATGAACTGGAACACAAAAACCAAACTCTTTATTTTTAACAAGACTATTAAATGAACCAATGATTTTTCTACATTATAATGGTGATCATTTTTGTTTGTCTTTTTCAGTACGTGTGTTGTATCATTGATGTTCTTATTATATATCGTACAAAAGGTTAAAAAAATGTTCTCGTCGACTTTCGATTCTTATTTATCGTAAATTTAATAATCTCCAATAAGAGAGACACAAAAATTCATGTTCATCATTAAAGATCTATGCATGTATTGAAAGAAGAAAGTGTACCATGCTAATGTAATAGAATGCAATAGATGAAACGAGAGAATAGATTGGAAAATAATTTTACTTGAATAAAATAACAGTCGTGCAAAATTTTTTAATAGAAGTTCAGTAAAGAAAAGTATATGTATAAGATAAAATTATCAACGAAAATTTGTGATACGCTGATCACAAATGAATAATCGTTTTTCTCTCAGTATTGAATGGGCAACAGTGCTTATATATGCAGATGTACAGATAATGAATTTTTGTCTGTTTAGATACAAATCCATTGTTGTACGAGAACTACAATTCAATATTTTTGTTATATAAATACGTAATAGACTAACAGACATGATTATAACAGTTTCTCATTCAAGTAGAATTGTAGTTACCATTTGAAGAGCCTAGAACTAGTGAGTGAGCCATTCCTCGTTCTTGAGAACGTGAATTGTCGAATCATTCCTAATTCAAGAATGAAAACTGGAAAAGCAGTTTCGTTTAATAAACGTAAATTGACAAGCAGTTCTACTAGAATGAATGGAAATTGTGAGAGTCACAGGTATATTAATTCAATCCACAATTTTTATGAGAAGATTATCAATATCTTCAACGAGGCAGCAATTAACATCGCACATTCTTTTAAATATGATATTCAACTGGTGTAGCGATTATGTTATTGTTACAAGTTCATCCTTGTAATTACAATCATCATCAATTTTCGTTTAGTGTTGATTGTAGGGAGAAAAAAAATCAAAAATATTTACATATAAAAATTTTCAAGAAAACAATAATACAAAACAAATATTGAATGAATTGAAAGATCCATTTCGACGCCAAAAAATTATGAAAAATTTGTTTTAGTGTATAAACAAACGAGTATCGGACAGTGACTACTATGAATAGTTTGACAATTAATGATAGAAACGGAAAATTAGTTGATATTTATAAAATAAGTGATGATATACTTCCTTCTTTTGATGATGATATGATATACAAAATGTGACCAACTTTATAATCGGACACAAATGTTTTGAAACATTTTATATCATTCGGATATAGTGTTCTAAAACTGAAGAATTTTAACAGAGTATTTGCTACATTTTAGTGAAGATCGCGCAGTAAGAGTCTTATTTTAAATTTTAATTTGATTTACATTTCCTTTATTTAACAAAATTTAATTTATTTGACGTTTCAACAACGATGTTCTCTTCATTACAAAAATGTACATTTGAAAAATACAGACATAAGATATACATAAATATTTCATTTAGTAAATTATTTATCATTTTTAGTTTTATATATTATTTTTATTTTAATTGAGAGTAGTTCGGACAAGATGATGATACTGGACGAATGATTCATGAGTCTTCTTCTGATTCATTATCATTTTTGATATTGATATCGTATATAACCAAATGTTTGCTGTTTCAATTTAATACTCGTTTTTATTCTTGTTTTTAATGAATATAAAAAATTAATATCCATGATTTATTAATGTAGTATCGTCGATTAATTGCGTTGTTGAATAAATTGTTTATTTTCTTTTTGTTGGATTAATTTCATTATCAATAATGAACGAACGCATTTTCTGGTTTAAATATACATTGATATTGCATCAGCTCTGAATTTAAGCTGTCTTGATCTTTTTCAATAATTTTCTCTTGTTATTTCATTCGATTTTCAAATCTCGACTTTTTATCAAATATTTGTTTAGAGAATTTGTGATTTGCTTTTTTATACCGTTTGTCGGATCATTAACTTTTTAAGGATATCTCTCCCTCTTTTTGGACTTTTCGTAGAAATGCAGTGGAATAAAAACTAAAAGCCACTACGGCTTCATATTTTCAGAACTGATTGGAAACTCAATGAAGTATTTTTTGTTTTTGTTTCAAGCTTTTAACTATTACTATTCACGAGTGTTCCAGAACACTCAGTTTTCCGTTGTGTCATATTATGATTCGCCTTAAAGCTCCTCCGACGGACTTAAAAATTTTACCAGAAGTATTTAAGGTCATATCGCAGAGGTACCTCTTGTGAATTGTTTTTAAGGTCGAGTTATAGGACAAATACTGAAAAACGTCTCAAAAACCAAGTTTTTCAATTTTAGAACCCTATAGCTCGGTAAAGAAAACTCTAAAAAATAAAATTCAAAAAAATACCTCTGCAATAGTGTCTTGAGTATCTCTGGTAAAATTTTTAACTCGATCGAATGAAATTTAAGGGGGGGGGTCGTAATGTGACACAATGAACCCCGATAGCAAAAAAATAGTTTTTGAGAAAAATGCATTTTCATATTACCGACAAAAAATTAGAGTTTGTTTAGAGTTAAAGAAAAGTACGTTTTCGTGTTCAGCTTACTCGATAACCTGGAATATTTTCTATTTTTAGCGAGGGGTATCGCCAAAAAGTTAAGAAATATTTTCGAAATTGTATAATTTTATTATGGAGACTTTTCTACATTAATTTGTTTGAAAATTTTTCTTAACTTTTTTGGCGGTATCCCTCGTTAAAAATAGAAAATTTTTCAGGTTATCAAGTGTGCTGAATACGAAAAAACACTTTTCTTTCACTTTAAACAAACTTTAATTTTTTTTTATCGATGATATGGTACACAGGTTACTTTTTTCAGAGCATTTGCCACGAAGCTTATATTTCCACGAAAACTTATCGGAAACTTCTTCTATCAGACTATGTATAAGAAAAAGTTTTGAATGTACAGAAAAGGAGAGAAAAGTTTATGAAACTAAAAAATTGAGTTTTTTCAGTTTTTGAAGGAAAAACTTCATAAATGCATAACTTTTTGACGAAATGTCGTGGAAATAGTCTCATTTTGTAGCCCACACTCTTCTCTACATTAGACTATGCTCAGCTAAAAATCCGAATTTTTTTCAAAAAGAGGAATAATGTACCCTTAGTTGAGAGTGGATGAAAAGAAGATTTATGAATCATTCATCCAGTGTCACCATCTTGTCCAAACTACTCTCAATTAAAATAAAAACAATATATAAAACTAAAAATGATAAATAATTTACTAAATGAAATATTTATGTATATCTTATGTCTGTATTTTTCAAATGTACATTTTTGTAATGAACAGAACATCGTTGTCAAAACGTCAAATAAATTAAGTTTTGTTAAATAAACGAAGAAATGTAAATCAAATTACGTTTAAAATTAACATGATCTTCTTTTCAAGACATGAATACTATGTGTCTGACCAATGCAAAATGGTATATGAGATTTGTTATGGGAGTTATCACAATGACGGCATGATTTTAAGAAAGTTTATTTGAACGTTACTTCTAATAGTAAGTTATGTAGCGACTTCTACAATTCTTTGAGCAATCAAAATAAGAAGCAATAGTTGTGTCACGATTACGATTAACTCTTATTTTTCGAAATAAGAAATAATCTCGATTGCAAGCCGATAATTGAATTTAAAAAGATCTTGATATAACTTCATGATTGATACAAATACTCAGTTTCAGTTAATAAATGAGATCAGAAACGTACAATATGCTTATTGCATTCCCAGAACGTTGGCGCCACAAAATGCTGATATTAACCGTTGAATCTATCACTCTCTGTTATCGACTTTTGTCGCTAGTAACTGGGCTCTTACACTACCTGTTTTCTTTTGATTTTATTATCAGATTGAATATAATGTTAAATGTCTCGAACTATTTTAGCCCTTCATAAAAAAAAAGTCTCATAATTCCAGGTTGTTATCCGCCATCAATCACTTCATAAATCTCCGGAGGTAATAATGAATTTCTGACAAAAATGGCTCTGCTTTTTGTTATTATTTTTTTCTAATTGAAAACAATGTGCGTTTTTTTTCTTTTCGTCGGCTTTGAATTGATGTGTGTCTTTCTTTACCCTGGATTTCGTCTAACATAAACAATAAGACATAATTTGTTGTCCAGCATAAAACACGTGCATCTAAATTGTAAACTAAGCGTCTATCTTTCTTGTCTTTTTCTTTATTCTAGAAATCGCTTGGATTATATTCTTCTTTCGTGTATGATTCGAATTGTATTCAACGATAGATATTATTTATTTTGTGTTACAATTCGGACGTATTTTGTTTGAAAATAAAATTTAAAAAATAGAGACATAAAAGAATTCAACAATAACAGTTCTGTGACATTGTTTTCGTATATGTCGTAGTTCTCTACTAGGAACGTTTTGAAACAGACAAAAAAAAAAGAGCCTGCCAATACCAACAACAAGAATGAGTACGAACAATAATGGTTCACCATATTTAGGAAGCAAAATTAGTCTAGTATCAAAAGCAAAAATACGTTATGAAGGAATATTATATACAATCGATGCTAACGAATCAACTGTTGCATTAGCAAAAGGTACGTTTAGCAATTCTAATATCTCATTTTCTATAAAAGTTGATTTTTTATCTAAAAGACTGTTTTCTTTGAGTTGTGATGTTACAAAATTTTTATTTTGTGAAGTGCTGTCTGATTGCATTAATATTGCGACTTAATAGCTTACTAGTTTTAAGAAAAGTTGATGAGTGAACTGGTTATTACAATTGACTACGTACGAAAGATAAAAGTATTAGAAATAAGCGCCTTGACCGTTCTCTTCCTACGAGTTTTTGTCATATTCATCTGTATTATGATGACTGTAAGATGTATAACTTGTGGTCGTCGATCTCCACATACTGATGGAGACAATATGCATTTAATCTTCGTATTCGTCAATGATAATGAGAGCATTGGATGTGATAATGAAGAGTAACAATCTTTGGAGAAATATAAGTGGGGCTTCGCTTATTAAGTATTTCAATGTCGTTTATTCTTGTTCATTGATCATTTTTTAGTAAGATCTTATGGAACAGAAGATAGACCAACTGAACGTCCAGTTCCAGCTCGTGAAGAAATATTTGAATATATCATATTTCGTGGTGCCGATATTGAAGATTTACAAGTTTGTGAACCCCCGCAGTCAGCCGTTACACAAGATCCTGCTATCGTCAGAGTATGTTATAAGTTACACGTTTCTTCAACAATTTATATTTAAAAATTTTCTAATTTTTTCTTTTAGTCATCCGAACCAACACCATTTTCAACAGGTAGTAGATTAACTGGAAATTCAACTAGTCTTCCTGGTATTAAACAAGATCAAATTATCAAATGTAAAATCTTATATTTATCTCTTTATTTAGTTTCATCTCAACAAAACGTTCCATCTAGTAGTAATGCATTACAGAATGCTTTAGTAACAGCAACAGCTGGTACAACGATCTCTCCGACTTTATTACAATCGAAATCCATTGATAGAAATACAACATCAAATAATAGTGGCAATCGACAAACGTATTATAATAATAATAATACAAGATATAATAATAATAGTCATCAAAGTTATAACAATCGTCAACAAATGATGGGTAGTGGAGGAAATGAAAATTATGGAGATATGAATGAAGGTGGTTATGGTGGATATGATAATGGTTACAATAATTATGATGTAAATAGCTATGGAATGAATGGAGGAAGAAAAGGATATAATCGATATCAACAGAGAAGTGAGTTATGAAACTTGGCAAAAATGAGCATTCGAGTAAAAGAACAAAACGATGTAGACTAGCGTTACAAAGTTGAAAGCATATAAATCGCTTTATATGGCAAATATGACAGATTCAAGAGTCAACATGAGACGTGTAAACTTTAAATATAGTATTTTTATATATAAGGAAGTGTCCTGCTTAAAATTGAGCTTTTCGTTTTTTTTGAACAGATCAAAGTCATACAACTGCATTTACATCAACATCGACATTATATTTTTTTTCTGTTACTAGGCTCGATTGGTAATCAACAACAACGACCAATGCGTCAACAATCACAACCACAACAACGTGAACGTGCAAATTCCACTCGAGAACGAGCTAATTCGACACGTGGTAGTCGTTCAGCATTAAAATTTACTGGTGATTTTGATTTTGAAAAAGCTAATGCTGAATTTGATAAAAATGCGATTACAGAAGAATTAAAAAAAAGTCTTTCGATCAAACCAACATCTACGACAACTAATGGTAAATTGTTTTTCTCTTGTATTGTTTAAGTTTTTCACATGGAAAAATTTATTCATTTAGTTAAAAAAGACACATCGGATTCAACAACGACCACTACGATTTCAAATTCTAATACAAATGATCAAACGACAAAATCGCAATCACCAACAACCACAAGTTCAGAAAATGATGATACAATTCTAACAAAACAATCTTATCCACAACAACAAGATAATGTTGATCAAAGTGGTTTTTATGATAAAACAAAAAGTTTTTTTGATCGTATCTCATGTGAAGCAACAGAAAAAGATAAAACGTAAGTTGTTGTATTTTTAAATTTATTCAAATCATATCTTACTTTTTCACGTTTTCTTTCTATCTTTAGCAATGCACGTCGTAATTGGGCTGAAGAACGTAAAATGAATGCTGAAACATTTGGATTACCTTATCGTCCACAAACAACAGCGAGTGGTTATCAGCAACAACAACGTGGTTTTCAACGTGGACGTGGCTCGAATATGTACAATAATAATAATAATAATAATCGCCAAATGTATTATAACAACAGTATGTATTATAACAATCGTCAAAGACCCATGGGTGGAAATGGAGGATATGATAGATACGAAATGAATGGAACTGGAGGAGGCGGTGGATACAATAGTTATCGAAATTATGCAATGAATGGTAATGGCGGTATGGGGGGAGGACGTCAAGGAGGATATAGTTACCAACGAGGTGAATAATAAATGAAAAATATCAGAATTCCCTAGCTTTGAATTGAACAGACCGATTTTATTATATAGTGTCATATTTCTCTTTCTGAAAAAAGAACGGAAAAGTGTAAAAGGCTAAGCAGTAGCGTGAGTTCGTTTGATAAAGAGGTAGCCGGTCAAAATAATTACTTGAAAAATATTTATTCTCTTCAAAATTAGATATTTGATTGATCTTGTGTCACGAATGCCGTTTCATCAATATTTCGAAGAAAGATCATCTCATCCATGTGGAAGGTAAACATGAAGACACCATAGATAGCTGCACAGACATCCACAGACAACCCAAATCAACTACACAGATATCTGTGTAGTTGATTTGGGTGGGTTGTCTGTGGGTGTCTTCATGTTTGACTATTACCCTTCATGTGAAGATTGTTTCTACACAGCTTTGTACAGAAAAATATGTCATATAATGTTAATTTTCTCTTCTTTAGGCGGTATGAGAGGTGGTAGAGGTATTCGTGCGCAATCATAATAAGGGCGAATCAGAATATATTAATGTTAACTCAAAATATGGATCTGAAATTGGTTTATTTTAAACTTTTTTCTCTAAGAATAGCACCGAAAATGCCAAATTTTATTCCCTTATTCAAATATTTGCTCTCGCGAACCGGTTTTCTTATTTTATTGTCTCTTTTCGTTTTATCATTTTTTTTTTCGTTGTTATATAAATAAGTCGATTTTATCTGTTTTTTGTTTTCAACCCTGTTACTGTCAACGTCTGCTTTTTTCTTGTCTACTGCAATACAACCATAACTATATATATTACACACATATACGTAAAAAGAAACAAAAGAGAGAGAGAGAGAGAGAGAGAAATAAAAAAGTAAACAAATAGTTTGTTCCTTATTAGATGTGATTTATTCATTCTCTTCTTTTGTTTTTGTTGTTGTGTTTTATTTGTTGTTCCTTTTTTGATAAATAACACATTTTATTTGTTCCTTCTTCTTTTTGTGCATGCTATAACTAGCTATCGTATCAATTTGTTTTTTTTTGTCTTTTTTTATAGTCTGTATTCTATTGAGAGAGTTAGTGAGAGAGAAACGGTAACGTAAAATAGAATATATATGTAAAGTAAAAAACCAAAAGAAAAAACTTTGATTTGATCGTTTCTTGTCAAGCAATTTTAAACAAACAAACAAAATCGAATGATTCGTATGCAAAATCGTAGAAAACAAAACAGATTTCTATGCAATACGAATGGTATAGAGAATCTTTTGTCTTTGAATATCATGAAATTTGAGATTTTTGTACAATTTTCTATAATTTTAATGATGTAGTAAAAGGAAAATGTTAAGAAAAACGTTAAACAAAATATTTATTATCTAATACTATTTAGAATGTATAGCTAGTCGTCAATACTAGAGTCAAGAGCTAGTTTTCGTGTTTGTGTAAAATTTACTTAGTAAGTTCGTTTAAATTCATTGAAACACACTTAAAAGATGTGTGATATTTAAATGTTTGACTTTCTGATTAAAAATTGAACGGATAAAAACAATTTTCAATATAATTTTTAAATTTAAAAAAAGTTAATTGTTTTTGAGAGACGTTTTCATAAAGATGTTTTCGAAAGTCATAATAAGACATTTTTATCAATCTGCTCGTTTTGTAAATCTTTGTAATTAAAAATACTTAAACTTTGCTCGGTGTTTTACGAGTCATTTTTTATATATAAATACAGTTCACATCAGTCATATTATAATCGAGTAATATAGGAGTTTTAAAATAAATGAATGTAAATTGTTGTTTGGAACTTGAATTACTATTAGTTTAAACTTTATTCATTCAAGAAAGAGAAATAAGAATTCTACACAGATGCGGCCTAGGTCATTATTTCAGAGGAAAATGACATGGTAAATAATATAAGCTATTACGAATGAAAAACACGAAAAATAAGAGACAAAGAAGGAAAAAGTATATAAGAAAGAAGATAAGAGGAATAAAGTGGATGCTAAAACTTACAGTATTGTACAGACATTAAACAAAAGCGTAAGAACAGTGAGATGGTTAGTTTAATATTTAAAATGTTTGGTAGCAATTATATATTCGATCACCGAAATGTCTACAAGTCTCTTGGAGTCCTTCTCATAAGAGAGAGAAGAGCCAAACTAAGAGAAATTATCATTAATATGGTAGAAATATTGTTTTATTTATTTAAATATGTTGTAGAGGTTTCGAGACAAATCGATTGTAAATATCTTTGAACTATGTTAATGATGCATCTATTTGACTCGAAAGCTCTGCAGCATATTTAAATAAATAAACTAATATTTCTGCCGTATTAGTGGCTATTCAAACTGCAAATAACAATTTATGTTCAGTCACATTATAAGTTTATTTTTCTTTAAATTCTGTTAACTGAACAAGATGAACGATCATGGCGAATTGCATAGTTTATTGTTTATGTTTAATATCATTCTAGTTTGATGACGGTATGACTGCTGAACAGAGATGCAGAATCTACCCGTGTGGGCGTACGGGCGTATGTGGAAAAGTTTTGGAAATGTATAAGAAGAAATGAAATTATTTACATAATTCTCTAAGTGGTGATCAAGTATGATTTCAAACCACAGTGATTCAGAGCCTAACTGACATGGTTAAGAAAAAAGAAACAATACCGGAACAACATTTTAAGAACAGTTTTAGACATAAACAGTTTGCCACATGTCTGATAGACAAACGGATGAATGAAATCTATAAAACATTGATAACGGTGCCGTTACAGTATGAATAATTGTCCATGTAATCTTATCATAAAAATTAACTTGTATTTGATTTGTTTCCGTTTTTTTTGCTAAAAATGTGTCTAATAACCATAATGATATATTTAAAACAATTAATAATGCAACAAATTCTCGTCCGGGCTTTTCACGTTTTGCTCTGGCTGTATTAGCTCGACGTCGTAGACCATCAAGAATAAATAATGTTTGTATTGTACATTCGATTATTGTCAATAATGCAACAAATAGTGTTAATAGTTCTAATGTTTGTATGTGATCTGTAAATCCGGCCGATAGAAGACTAAATGTGGCAAACAAATATGTTCCCAATGAACTAAATATAACAAGAGCTTCATCAAATACAATGGCTGTATGCCAACGAATTTTTAATTGACGCGTTTCTTTGTAAGCCAATGATAAAGCACCAATAACAAGGCAGATCAATATGAGCTGAACTGATTTACTCAACACAACAGACAGATAACTGTCGAATATTTCCGATTGTTTCCTAACATCTTTATAGATGAAATAGATGATTATTGTGATTATAATACCAACTAGAAAACAAAAGAAAACCATTCATGGAATCATTCTTCACGTCAAAGAATTATCTGTTAAATCTATCCTCCTCTTCCATCAGACAGGAAATCTACTGAATTACATTCTCTCTCAATGACGAATGTCATCTTTTAAATGCTCAAAAGATCTTAACGATAAATGTATGAGTCTGAAGATCAACGGCCGTCCCTAGTCCAGACTCCCGGCAAAACTCCCACGGGACTCCTGTCACGGGGTCCTGCGGGATCCTGGAGGATCCTGTAGGAGTCAGGTGGGACTTTCAAGGGATTTCTCAGGACTCCTGAAGACTCCCGTGGGACTTCTGTGGAGGTTTCGAGTCCTGCGAGAGTCCAACGAAAGTCCTCAGAATACTCAAAGTCCCACGGGAGTCTTCAGGAGTCCTGAGAA